GCAGTGGTGTGATCTCGGCTCACTGCAACCTCCGCCTCTTGGGTTCAAGCGATTCTCCTGCCTCAGCTTCCCGAGTAGCTGGGATTACAGGCATGTGCCACCACACCCAGCTAATTTTTGTATTTTTAGTAGAGGCAGGGTTTCACCATGTTGGTCAGGCTGGTCTCAAACTCCTGACCTTGTGTGGATCTATACTTCTAAGTCTATTCCATGTGAAAGATGGGTGCTGTCTCTTCATGGGAAAACCTAGGACATGATGATCTTGAAATTCCAATGTCATACCATTTTCTTTCCACCCCAAAGCTTAGTTTTCTGCCGTGCTTTGCAGCACCACCAAAGTGTCCTGAAAGTCTGTTAAGCATCCATTCAAAAGGCTCAGATGTAGGGAGACCTAAGCTCTGTTTTTACAACTTCGTCTGCACTATTCAAGCTTTCAAAGGTTATTCCAGTGAGAAAATTATCAGATTGCCACAAGACTAACCTGTTTCTAAAACATTGGAGTTTATCTCCCCACCCCTCACCACTGTTTTTATTGACTTAAATAGGATGAAACTTGAAATTACTATATCCTATTAAATTATTACATTCGTTAAGTAAGTGGAATACTAGACTTCACGGGTATATTTTAATACAAATCATTTATCCCAGAGCCTGGAATCACTTAAGAAATTTAAGCTAGTTTCTCAAAAAGTTGTTTTCTTTGGTGTGTAGTCTGTAAAAGTGAAGGCTACTAATTTAGGGGATTTATTTTCATGTTTTTAAACTTTCTGATTGGCCTTTTGTAGAATCAGTGATGGTCCTTAAACACTTGGAAACCTGGCTATGATTAATATTTCTTTTTTGTGTGTGTCTGAGATACTCTTGCTCTGTTGCCCATGCTGGAGTGCAGTGGCGCGATCTCGGCTCACTGCTGCAACCTCCGCCTCCCAGGTTCAAGCAATTCTCCTGCCTCAGCCTCCCGAGTAGCTGGAATTACAGGCGCACACTATCACGCCCGGCTAATTTTTGTATGTTTAGTAGAGATGGGGTTTCACCATGTTGGCTAGGCTGGTCTCGAACTCCTGGCCTCAAGTGATCTGCCCACCTCAGCCTCCCAAAGTGCAGGGATTACAGGCGTGAGCCATCGCGCCCAATTAATATTTCTTTTGCAGTTTTAAGATTTCTCTTTAGTGAAAAAGATGAAAGGTCACAAACTCCAGAAGAACATAACTAGGAGTACAAGATACATTCTAGAGATTAAAAATTGACTGATAAAATGATGATGTAGGATGAGGGCCTCTGTCTAGTACAGAGGGTCTGTCTCAAAAAAAAAAGTAAGTAGTAAATGCTTATGTAACAGCCAAGCTGAGACAAAGAGTGAAACTTGTAGAGTTGGAAATCAATTAGATTTTAAAACCTTTATTGTATTCCAGATACTGGCATCGATCACTAAACCCCAGAAAACTGGTAGAAGTGAAATTTTCTCACTTGAGTAGAAATATGACTTTACAGAGAACAATGAAACTATACAGACTTCCAGATGTAAGTAAGAATGATTTGCAGTTTTTTGAAGCTGTAACAACTGATGCTTTTAATGCAGAAAAGAATTATTTGCAGGCGTCTAAAAACTGACTCGTGTCTGAGGAAGTGAATACGGAGCAAAAGAGATTTCATGGAACTCGGGAGCTAGGGAAGGTAGGGAGTTTGTTTGGAAATACCAGTCTTTCCTTTTTTCCTAAGGCTCTTAAAGTTGTTCCGTTGGTAGTTGGATGAGACTGAACTCAAGGCAAGTAAGTTTTGAAATGTGGGGAATTTACGGTCTGTTAAGTAAGAAGGAAGAAAAGTCCAGGCTGCTGATTTCTTAATGCTTTGGAACTCAGGAATCAGGTATAGAGGAGAGACCCAGGGAGC